TGATGGTGATAATAATGATAATAATAATAGTAATGATAATGATCATAATAAGATTATAATGATAATAATGGTAATGATAACAATGGTAATGATAATAATGGTAATGATAACAATGGTAATGATAATAATGGTCACCGTAAGGATAATGATAATGATAATGATAATAATGATAACAACAACAACAATAATAATAATAATAATGACAGTTATACTACTAATAATAACAATATCAATTATATTAATAATGATAATAATAATGATGATAATGATGATAATAATAATGATGATAACAATAGCAATAATAATAAGAAGAATGATAATAAATAATGATAATGATAATAATATAATGATGATAATGATAATAATAATAATAATAATAATAATAATAATAATAATGATAATTATTATTATTATTATCATTATTATTATTATTATTATTATTATTATTATCATTATTATTATTATTATTATTATTATTATTATTATTATTATTATTATTATTATTATTATTATTATTACAACAATAATAATGATAATGATAATGATAATAATAATAATAATAATAATAATGATAATAATAATAATAACTATAATAATAATGATGATTATAATGTAACGTATAATGCAATAATGATAATAATAATGATAATAATAATAGTAATGAAAATGATAATGATAATAATAGTAATAGTAGTAGTGATAATAGTACGAATGATAATGATAAAGACGATAATAATAACTGTTATTATATTCATTATTATTATCATTATTATTATCGTCATCATGATGGTAATAATAGCAATAATAACTATAATGGTAATGATAATGATTATGATGGTAATAATGATTGTAGCAATAATTTTATTGATGAATGATAATAGTAATGATATTTAAACTTATCATAACGATAATAACAATTATGATAACAGGAATAACGTTCATGATACGAATGTCCATATCATAATGACTGAATTGAGAATATCAATAACATCATGAACGTAATTGCAATAATACAGTTATGGTATCACAGCCAAAAAGTCCAGTAACCGTAATAAGATAGTAACAGTAATAACAAATACATAATGACACTGATCATGGCAACAGTGATAAACATTTGATTAAAATAACTCACTGAAAAAAATTCTGTAAGGAATGTTCCTCTAGTTTATACCCATGTTTCAGTGTTTCAGTAAGGTCAGTTATAGAATATTTAGCTTATGAAGCAACGTGTATTTTGAAGTTTACAGTATTTTCTTTGATTCCCAAGCTTTTCCAGGCTAGCTCCCTTGGCTTCCAGGTGAATTCCTTGTGCTCCCGTCTTGCTTGCGAACACAAAGTTTTTTCGTGTGTATTTCACAATTAAAACCTAGTTTAGTAAACCAATATATCTAGCTGTTTTAAATGTCGCCCCCTGAGCCTCCTTTTGCCTCACCGCCTCCAGATCTTTCCACGGCCCACTTTGGGAACCAGAGCTCTACAGAAAGCTGTACAGAAGGAAAACGACACGTAATGCATCAGAGTCATTAGGCGCTGGTGATGATTGTCTTTTCCTCTCCCTTCCTCCCCTTCGTTTCTTTCCCTCCATCTTTCTTTTGCTTCTTCCATTCTTTCCCGTCCGTCCTTCTCTCCTGTCTTCCCTTCATTCTCTCTTCCTGTCCCTTCTCTCATCCTCTCTTTTCATCTCTCCCTCTTTCTCTTTACCCCTTCCACCTCTTTCCCTTCATACACCTCTCTCCCTCTTTCCTTTATCGCATCACGTGCAGGAGGTGAGGTCTGGGCAATACCTTTTCTTTAGGTGTATGTTATCTAGGCTTTTCGAAACTTGATTATTGTGCAGTAGACGATAAATTCACAAATTTATGTATTTTTTTAACTATTCCATATATAATGGTTCTTATCAATTTTTTTTTCAGCGATGTTATTTAACTGATCTCCAACATTGGAGGCACCTTGCCAGTAACTCTAATAAACAACTAGCATATTCACACAGCTGCACATGCATAATACCACGAAAATGATCGCGGAGTGTAATCCGGTTGGGCCGGGCAGGATAACCAGGAAATGCTTCTAGGAGAGAAATCTAGAACAGAGAACCGAGTGAGAAAGACGTGTCTTAGGTCAGCGACCCATGCGCCGGGCTCTGGCCACCGGCTTGAGGAGAGCCCGAGCTTCCCGCGAGCCTTCCCCCTTATGTGGGCGGGGTTTCGCCGGTGGGCGGTCCATGGGCGGGGCTTGGCGGAACAGCCCTTATTTGAGGAGTTAGAGAGGGAGAGAGGAAGGAAGAGAGAGAGAGAGAGAGAAAGAGCGAGAGAGAGTGAGAGAGCATGCGTGGTGACCCCTCGGTCATACTACTTGACGCAGTTAGTCGTTTTCGCGGTATGTTATAGTGAGCACGAGTTGCGTCCTTAGTCTCACAAAGGCCCTGGCGCCGCCGCAAGCACTCTTCGTCCTGCGCTCTCCTCCTGCCTTCCCGCGCGTGTGATCAACCTGCAGTCCTCAG